CTTAAAGAGAAAAGAAGCTATACTTACCTCTTGGACACCGCATATACCTACAAAAGGATTCCCTGTGCCGTGTCGTCATTATAGAGTAAATTAAAAAGGCTACTACTCTGTAACAGTATATTGGACCTTATTTTTTTCTTTGTTTTTTTTATCTTTATTTTTTATATTTAGATTATTTATTTAGATTGTATAGTTTATTTTTTTTTTATTTATTTTTTTTTCTTTTTTATTCTTTCTCTTTCTTTTATTAGTTTGATATTTTATTTGCTTCATTGTATAAATAGTTTGGAAAAATCTTTCAGCTAGGATTTAGATAAAAAAATTTAAAGAAAAGAGGTAGTTATGATAGGTTAGTGGATTCTGGCTGATGAATTGTGAATTTAAAATCAAAAAAAAACAAGAAGACTAATTCTACTCTAGCAGGTCACCAAAATTACAACTGGGTAAGCTACACTTTAGTTTAAAACAGTATTGCTGTATATAGATATTTCAGTTGTAAAACTCGTATATTCTATAGTTATAATAAAGTTGTGGCATGACTACTTGGAAAAAAAAATATATACAGTAGTATAATATTTTTTTTGAATTCTTGTATTTTGATTAGCTAAAAAATAAATTTTAAAAAATATTTTTTTAAAATAACCAATAGCAATAAGCTAAAAAACATATAACTTGTTCTATTTTTAGTCAATTTTATATAGAAAATTATATAATTTCTATTTTTAAATATTCTGCACTGTAAAATGAGTGTAGTTTGTTCTTTTACACAACTTTAATTATTGTCGCGGATCATAATGAAATCGGATTAAAATGAAATGAGGGCTTCTATTTAACCCTTTAAAACCCACTTATACTTGTTTATTATAAACTCTACTCTAAAACTAACCACTAACCCTAACCCTAACCCTAACCCTAAAAAATGCACCTCAAAAATTTTTATTTTTCGGTGGCTAGTCTATTTTTTACATTGTACAATATTTCATTTTATTTCATATTAGTCACAATTGTCATTGTCGTCATATAAAAATTAATTTAATAAGTAAAATTTGAACTTTTCTATATAGCAATGATTAGTAATATACTGTATATATATGACAAATTTTGTTATAAAATTATAATTTACTTCTATATAATTACATATATTTACAGTATAATTTTCATATAACGTGATTATCTAGAGGTACCTTTATATGGTCTCCTCTCTATACCATCACTAGATAGGTATGTATCCAACTGTATGATTATATATCTAAGAAAAAAGTTTGTACTGCTAGTTTTTTTTTCAATAACTCGGCTATATTTAACACTTTAATAATATATACTGTATAGTTCTATAATTACAATATGCGTAGAAATTTCACCTAAGTAAAGTACCTCAAGGTGTGGGATTATTTTGCATAGTAACTGTTGGCGCTTCTTCGAAGATAGAGACAGGTTTAATTTTTATTTTTACTTATGTAATATTACATTCTTAAGACTTAATTCATCATTTACTTTTCAGAAATTTCCTATTATCCTAAATGATATCACCTGCCTTGAACTAAATGCTCATTATCCAACTGATAATTACAAATTATGCTAATTCTACTCGAGCAAACTGCATGATCGTCCAAAAACTCAAAAGTGTAATAATAGTTTAATTGTTTGCCGAATAATTATTCAAAGGTTTATTCGAACATTCGCCGAATACGAGTATGTAAGCTCTAGTTCTCTTTAGCGCTAAAAATAAATAATGATATATAATATATAATATATAAGCAAAACTAATAAATAGGTACGTACGTACGTTAATTTATAAAAAAATATAGAACATTCGAATTTCAAATGACAGCGGACAACGAAAAGTCACATTGCATTTAGTTTACCTGTATCTCCGATTCGTTCCGGACAATAAAAAATAATTATTTTAATGTACCACCTAAAAATCGAATTGGTATGAAAAATAAAACTAGTTAAACTTGGACGATGACGATCTGGTTCCAAACCCGGTCAACTGGATTCATCCGAACTACTTAACATCCCTAGAATAGAAATTTTATTTTAACGTTAACAGAATAGTTAGATTTAAGTCAAGAAGTAGATATTAAATATTGACATACATATAGTTTGATAATCAATAATATATATTTCATATATATGCGATTGAAAGTTTTTTATAATTCAAAGAAAATAATACGTACGTACGTATATTCATAACTGATAATTTAATTTTTAAATAAGACTGCAATTTATAAAAATTTTAAGGAACAATATCGAATAAATTTGGTTCAGAAAGTATAATGTATATTTTAGTTCAAAGATTATAAAAAAGAATACGTGTTGTACGTAAAAATACTTTTATATAAGGTTATGTATTGGATTAGAGCACACGGACCTTTTTTGCATTGGGAGTATAGATAGAGTCGATCTCAAGATTTGACTTCGATCATGATCGATTTGCAGAAGATTTGATTAACATGGTATATAGTAACCTATATTACCAAGCCATGTAGTAATAACGGAATAACATCCAATTATCCGTTATTGGAAATCGTACATATGTGCTAAGAATTTGAAAAAAAGAGGTCGTTTTTACGCAAAAATAAATAAATATAAACAATGTGTATCGAAAAAATAATATATTATAATTCAATAAATTCACATGCCATCAGATAGTGAATGAGCCAATAATCCCTTTTTTTTACACACTTCAAGATTGGAAAGTAACGCAATTTAAGATCCCGCACCATACAAAAGCTCAATAATCACCACCGAATATAACTGTACATAGCGAATATACTAATTAATAAGATGTACGAAAAGTTTTGTACTTCTAACTGCATATGCGTACGTGTTGCTTGTGTGCATACTTGTTTGTATTAATGTCAATGGTCACACGAACATCTTTGCTCGGGAATACTTATAAGTGACGATTTACAATTGCACAATTTTTTTTTAGGTTTGACTTACCGACCTCTGCTCTTTCAAGAAAATAAGAAAAACCTTATTCAATCCATACTCAAATCGAAGAATTCTAATTCCCTCATTAAATATTTTATTTTTTTAATAACAAAATGTCTTATCATTTATTAGCAAAATTTTCTCGTGATTTTTGTAACCTTCTTGAAAGTGCAGCATATTATGATGTAGTTATTCGTGTTGGCAATGGTGAAGATGTTAAAGAATTTCCAGCCCATTCTCTCATATTGAGAGCTAGGTCTGCTTATTTTCGTGGTTGTTTGTCGGGCGACAAATGCAAAAGCGAATATGACAAAATCATTCTTAATAAGCATAATATATCTGCAACAGTTTTTGAAATTATTCTTAGGTAAGTTACTCTATTAAAATAGATTAAAATATAGATTAAAACTTTTAACGAATTTTTTTTTTTATTTAGATATCTTTATAGTGGAAAAGTAGATTTTATGAATTGTGATGGGCAACAAACACTTGATTTACTTTATGCAGCCGAAGAACTTGGTCTTACAGAAATCTTGGAATGTATTCAACGTCAAATAACTCAACATGAAGCTGAATGGATGGATAGTAATTTCATCAAACATCATGATAAAATTTTCAGGCATGATAATTTCAAGACACTTCAAGTTTATTACACGAACAAAATTGCAACGATGCCTACGAGTATATTCGATACACATGATAGTTTTAGCCCAGAAATATTAAGATCGCTTGATAAACGTGGGTGTATTAAATTGGATGAAGCTATCTGGGGTTACATCGTCAACTGGGCAAAACATCAAATTCCAAGATTAGGAAATAGAGTTTCTGGATGGGCAAAAGAAGATTGGGATGAATTCAAAAATGCACTTGCACAATGTATTCCATGGGATGCTGTTTTATCATTAAATTGGAATGAATTTCACGATATTTTAGTTCCTTGTGAACCATTCTTACCATCGGATAAATTCGAATATGCACTTAGACAACAATTAAAAAAAGCTTGCGGATCATCAGTTAAAATTTCATCACCAATTTCTTTTCAATTTAATGATACAATTATCAATATTTGTCATGCAACATTAATTTCAGGTTGGATTGATCACCGAGAAGAAAACCCCTATAGACCAGCAGAAATACCATATGAATTTAAATTAATTGTCCGTGGAAGACGGGATACATTTTCACCAGATGTATTTTATCAGCGATGTGAAGGAATTCAAAAAACGGTGGTAGTTTTTAAAATGAATAAAACTAATGCATTATATGGAGGATATAATCCTGTAGATTGGAAATTTGATCGTAACACCAAAGATAGTTTTATTTTCAATTTTGATGAAAATAAAGCGGAAATTACTAGACTTAATACAATTGCAATTCATAAAAAAGCGGGATATGGTCCTTGTTTTGGCACTAAAGGTTTATTATCATTCCCGAATGGAAAAAGGTCAATTTTGTGGAAAACAAGTGATAATTCGGATTCATTGTCAGTTTTAGATTACGAAGTTTTTCAGATTGTGGAAAAACCTAGAAGATCTAATCTTGGATCTACATCACATCTGAGTAATGGAATATCTCATAAAAAGAGATAGTATTTAGGGTATTGAGGGTTGATTCTTATTTTTGAAGGTTGATTTTTGAAGGGTTTCTAGTGGTAATAGAAAAAATTGCCTTAATTTTTTTGAAAATGAATTGTATCAGAATATATATTTTTTGTTCAATACTTAATTTTTTGGTTTGTATAATTTTTAGTTTTTTGCATTGATTTTTTTTCAAAATCAAGGCTTTTTAATATAGGTTTGTCTTGCTTTATTTAAAGGTTTTTGAAATAGCTTATTTAAGAATTTTTAGTTTTATTTGATATATAAATAACTGGATTCTTAAAGTTTTTTTATTGTTAAAAATTTTTGTATTATTTAGATATATAGCTTGAAATATTTATTTTTTTATACTGTAAATGAATTTAGCCATTAGTAAAAACGTTTTAAATTTAGATATTTTATCAATATAATAGAATTTTATAGCTTATTTTCCGGCTAAACTATAAATAAATAAACTTTAACTTTAGTTGAATTAGAATTGTGTATAATAATTTCATATCAATGAAAAATACAATAATTTTTTCTAAAATATTATGTTTTAATTTATAATCATTTGGGTTTATTTTTTAAAATATAAATATCGATACATATATAATTTTTTTGATTATAGATATTAATTATAGTAAGTTAGCATGTCTTGTTTAGGTTTGGCCGCTCATAAAATGTTACCTATCGGTTAGACTTTTTGGTTATCTGAGTATATCCGCCTGATTCACTCGGGGTAGAAAGATTTATCAAATACGTCGATTAATAAACGATTTTTTATATTCAATCCTTATTTATGGAATAAAATATATATCGTGATAAATGCTGTAAATATATATAAATTTGAATAGCTTACTTTATGTTAGAATAAAGACGAATAAAATTAAAATCAAAGATGATAACTATCCATGATTTATATGACCGCTTTGATTAACAAAAGATAATTATACTCACCTATTAAATTAATAATCTAAATATAATCTTCAAAAGCATAAAGAATTAGCGGAAATGAAGTTTTCACATCAGACCTCCTTAAACACATATTTCCTAAATGCATGGTCTCTCTAAGTGCATGGCCTTATTTGGTCCTAACTTATATGACGCTTATAGATTTTACCTCCCTAAATGCAATACATCTAAGATTTTTGGCCGCCCCTCGGCTATGCATTTAGAGAGGTCTGGCTGTAACACAAAATTGAGAATCTCAAGCTTGAAGACGGACATCCAGGTGCCGGTTCTAAATGGAATGGTTATGCTAATTTATCCATTTTCGAGGTGAATACCATATTTCCTGGATATATAATTATACATTATTTTGAAATAATTATGTAGTTGTTTGTCTTTATAATCAAAAGCAATCATTTGTTTATATTATTTCTGTTCTGTTGTTAAACATTTATGAATAAGTGATATAAATATAAAAAACTTGAACTACAGCAAGAAACTTATTTATTTCAATGTAGCGGTTGCTTCAATGGAGGGATAAAACATAAAGATCATGTCTGTAGGTCCTAGATCATAAGATGGCAGTTCCTTTCCGCGACTCCATATCAACCTATTTTATATATTGTAGAATTATTACAACAGTGCTTCTATTATAAAATAAATTTACTCAAAACTGTTATGAAATAATGATGCTTTTACTTCTCACTTCTTCCCTTAGTAATTGTCACATTCACATTGCTTATACATTCCATCGGCTACTTTTTTGATGTTTTGCAATATAGATGTGAATTATGATTACAAACCTTACATCAGGCTTCCATCCTCTAAAGATACGCCCCACTTTTCGAAGTTACCGTAAACGGCCATATAAAAGACCCGGGTCTGTTACATTCCACAAATTTTAAAACCTATAGTAGACCCAGGGAGCTGAAAGTTTGTATCTTAGAAAGTAAAAATTTGAAATGCATGCACACTTTGCATTTGTAGCATGCATATCTAGATGTTTAAAAGGATTACATATCTACTACGTATTTGGGAGGGTCTTTCAGAAGGCCGTTTACGGTAATTTTGCACTTCTTTAATCTGATTTTTTTTTTTTTTACGTATTAACGAAAAAAAATAATATATAGCTGAAATTACCATACAATATAAAACCTGTGATGTGTGGCACTTGTGTTTTACAAGCAAGTTACGCATAAACCTTATAATAATGACAACTCTGCATGTAGAATTTGATCTTTATAAACGCGAAATTTATTCCCAGTATTAGTGTTAAAAAATTAAAATGCTGGTGGCTTAGTATATAAATATATTTCCAATGTTCATATAAGAACAGAATGAAAAATAACAGTTTTATTTCGATGCCACAAAGTGGATTGTTACATCACAGAGACAAAATATCATTAGCCAATAGGCTTACCGTTATAGGTAAAAAATGCATTATATCTTTCTACCAGTACGTATTCACGTAATGGGACATAGTAAATCATATGTGATTTTTAAGGCAAAACCTATTTTCTTTATTAACAAAAGAATCATCAACTTCCCACAATTATTTCCATAATATTTTTCACTTTGCGAAGTTTAGTATCATCACTCAAAGCCTTAAAATTAATTTCGATAAAATATCTTTCTGAGAGATATATCTTCTTTGTTGTATACATAATATTGACCTGAAATACTCATCAAAGTACCTTTTTCTAAAATTTTAATTTCATCTATAATCAGTTTTATTACATCATCAAACTCCCCTCCAAACGGAACAAAGCCCAAAACAAAATGATTCTTTAATTGTTTTCTTAGCCATAAAGGCATATTACAGAATTGAAGATAAATTCCACCCAAGGAATGATACACGTTACGGAACGTACCAAAGTCATCGTGATAAATGTCCAACATTATTTTTAATGTAGGCACATTCATTATGATTAAATTTAAGTTTGTTGCAAAAAAATTAAAGGTTTAAGTTTCATTATGAAAAATGAAAATTTGTAAAATTATCGATATCGTCGCGAAATAACGCGCAGGGGTTACCATTTATTGGCTACAATTAAAAAATCAATGTTAGCAAAACAATGTTTGCATGAATTATAATTCCTTGACAAAACCTACCAATAGTAAAAATACCATAAAGATTATCATAATAGTCTTCATAATTTTCATCGCATTTCCAATCTTATATTCTTTATTTGAAGGCGCTTTCGCACGATGTTTTGTACGATCCTATTTCTTCTGTAAATCGTTCGGCTTCGTTATGCACACCAACTTTTCTGAATCGCTATTTATTTACTCATTCCTCTGTTATTACATCTATATAGGAATCCAGTTTACTAATTAGATTGTTTCTATGACATAAGATCGATGCTTCTACATCTATAATTTCTAACTAAATCTAAACTAATCTGTTTCTTGGTAATTTGTTTGACAATATGTAGAATCCTGAAATATTATATCAATGTATTTAGAGGGAGGTTGTCGTTGTCGTTATCAGGAGGAGGGTTATCGCTATCAGTATTGCAACCATCGGGGTCAGCATATGACCTTGATATAAACCAAGATGGTGCATTTGTGGGTGGAGCTGCATTTTTATCGATTAAACCTGGGGCATTTGCCCACTGGTATCTTGTGCATTTCTTTTTTACGGCTGACACATTTTCGGCCGACCATAATAAAGTGTACAGCTTCTTGCACAGTGCTATCGCTTTGAAACTAGGAACGTAGTCTTGTTAAATTCTTAAAACTTCTATTACAAGATTACCCAGTTTAAAACTTGGCATTTATATAAGTCAGTAGCTTATTGAGTCTTTCAACAGTAGTTAGAAAGATATCGTCATAAAATTGATTATGAATAGTGAGAAAGAATTCTTCGCAATTGTTCTAATCATGAAAACAACATCAAAGATGCGTGAGGTAATCCTCCAGTGTCCTCGATAAGCCGAAGGAACCGGTTTAGTGATTCCATATTTGCTTAATGGTGTTCTCAAGATGAATAGTGAGAAAGGAGTTGAAGCGCATGATGTAGTCCTCCAGTGTTCTCGATAAGCTGAAGAGTGATTCCATATTTGCTTAAGGGTGTTCTCAAGATGAATAGTGAGAAAGAATTCTTTGCGATTGTTGTAATCATGAAAACAAACGTCAAGGAGGAGTTGAAGCGCGCGAGGTAATCCTACAATGTCCTCGATAAGCTGAAGGAACCGGTTCAGTGATTCCATATTTGCTTAAGGGTGTTCTCAAGCATCAATATAGATGCAATTTCATAGTGATCGAAATAGCGTACAAGTATTATAACATAATTTTAGCTATTATCATAACATTTTTTAAAAAGTTAATATTGTAATATGAATGACGATATTATTGAGATATGCTCAAACATCACTATTACTATTACTGTGATTTTCTAACAATTGAGTGATGCTCAACTGCAACAATAGATCAAATAAAGATCTCAATCACTGCATGAGAGGATTCTAAATAGTTTATCGAAAATTTTATAAAAAAATGTGTCAATAATGAAAATCCACAATAAAAAGTATGAAAAAATTTGAGCAATACTTTATTCACTTTAATATTTATAGTCAGCGTAAAAAAAAAGGTGGTGGTTCAGGCAAAAATTTTTTTGACTGAAATGGTAAACTCATCGTTTTTTACTATTTAAAATTTTTCTTTCACATAATAAACTACCTTATCTTAATGACAAGCTCGATTGATCGATTAAAAATACTTTCTGTTAATTAAAATTTAATTCCCGACACATTTTCGACCCATTAATTGAGGCCCTAAGACAGACGTATTTCATCCTTAGATGCATAACTTGAAAATGGCTTTAATTATGTACTGAGCTTTTGTGTAAGGTCTACAATCCCCATCGCTGTTTCTTGTTTCTTTCCGGTTAACTTGAGGTGCTCTGGACCTGAAATATCTTGTTCTTCAATAATATCAATATATTTAAAATAGTGACTTGAATCGGTTGAGCTATAATCGGTTAACTAACCCGAACCGAATAAATTTCGGGTAACCGGTTGAGGATTCTTAATCGGTTGACCCGGTACAACCGGTTGGTGGGATCAATATGATATGAGAAAATGTCAAAATAACGTAGGAGAGAGTAAAGTTCCGAAAGTTCCGACAAGAAAATAAATGAACATAAAAGACAAGCAGGTCGAGACAAAAATTAGAGTAATGCTCCGAGAATTTCCGAAGGCCGGTTGGTAGTCGGTTGAATGAAATAACTAGGTTCGGTTAACCGATTAAGAGAATTTTTTCTCGGTTCAAATCACTAATTTAAAATCCAATTCGTTTTTTATGGATCACAAATATTTAATGCACTTTGCTTCCATTTTTTAACCTTTACAATCGAAAGAATTTTTCGACTTGTTATTGCGTGAGAAAACGATCTAAATTTGCCCGGATTGTAAGCAAGATCTTCAAAACGGTACGGTTATACATTGCTGTGATAAAAATTGTGGGGTTGACCAAATTTTATAGATCATTTAGTTAAATGTCATTTCAAATTTAAGCAAATGGATCAAATGACTTTAAATGATCTAAAATGACTTGATTATTTTGAAATTGTGTTATGTTAGATCTAAAGTTAGAGGTGTAGATATAATGCCATAACTTGTTGTAATTGTAAGGAGTTATGGCGTTTTTTGCCGTAACTCATTAAAATTATAGCATTATACCCACATCTTTAATTAGGCCAAATTTGACTCTGATATAATTCGTTTGTTATGTATTAAGTTGCTACTAACATGATAGTTATTGTTTGACATCACCTGATGTAAAACTAGGTAAACAATTAGTTTCACAGGATTGCAGTGGATAAACTACGTATTATTAAGAAATAGCACTCAGGCTTTTCATTATAGTAATAGTATTGAATAGTGATTTGAACTGAGAAAAATTTCCTTAATCGGTTAACCGAGCCGAATTATTTCATTCAACCGGTTGCCAACTGGTTAAGATTATCTCTACTACCTTCGGAAATTTTTGTCTCGTCTTTTATGTTCATTCATTTTCTTTTCGGAATTTTTCGGTTCCTTTATTCTCTCCTTACTCTTCATACTATATCGACCCCGCCAACTGATTACCGGTTGTACCGGGTCAACCGATTACAGCTGTTTTCATAAATTTTGGAACTGAAAAAATCGCTGATGACCGAATCGATAAGTTACCGAGTCGGAATCAATAAGTAACCACTCAAACTTATAGATTCGGTCATCAGCAATTTTTTCAGTCGTTCCAGAATTTATGAAAAACATCTGTATTTTTTTATTTTTTTCTTTCATTTATTTTTTCATTTTTTTTATTTTATATTCTTTATTATTATTATATAAAGTAAAAGAGGGTATTATGACGCATTTACAATATCTCGGGATCCAGTGATCAGAATTAAACGATATCACCACCATTCAATTTGACTCGATGAGACGAATCGAATGATGGTAAAATCATTCGATTCAGATCATTGGATCTTGAGATATCGCGAGTGCGTCATAATTGGTATCTGCGCCATAATACACTTTGCATAGCATTTGAGCGTTAAAATCTCATGATTCTGTGATTAGAATCGAATGGTATATAAATCATTCGATTTGGACTAATAAGTCACGAGCTATAACAAATTTTCTTTCTTAACTGCATTACAATACCCCTTTTACCTTATATTATATACAAAATGTCTCAAAAACTCGGCAAAATAGCAAGAAAAGATGTTAAAAGACGCGCAGAACTTTTTAAAATAACAGCTACTAGTGTCGCGCCTCAGTTAGATACTGAGCGGGTTGCTGTGCAACAAGTCGAATCGCCTTCACATTATACTCCAAGAACTGCTGCTGGTTAAAATTAAATAATTTAATTTAGTTTATTCGTTAATTCTATTTATAGTATTTTTAATTTAATTTATTATTTAAAATAATTTAAGATCAATCTATATTGGCTGATATTAAAGATTTGTTACTTGAGTTAAATGAGAAAGTTGATAGAATAGAGCGAAAGATTTCGGATATAGATAACCGGTTAACCGAATTTTATTCGGTTCGGGTCGATTAACCGATTATAGCCCAACCGATTCAAGTCATTAGTATTGAAGACATCTTGCAAGTATATATACTTTACCAGTACACATGTCCATATCTTTTATATGTCCATGCCCATTGACAACACTAGCTAATGCTTTTCTTATTTTAATCCAAGATTATAATCGGCATAGCGTTTCTGCAAAGTATATCTGTTAATGCTCTCTCTGATTTCAATGTGCATTTGCTGATGTATTTTTATATTCAATATATGCTAATATTCCAAAATTTGAAGTCGTAGACATTTTACTTATCTATCTTGGTAGTCCAAAACTTGCAATCATTAGTTGTTTTTGATGAATTAAAATATTCTTCAAATGCAAAGTTGCAGTATTAGAGTATTAGTGAAATGATAATATAAAGTCTGATAAAATTCATTAAAGCTATTTTTCCCTTAGGCCGTTTGCCCGACATCACATAGGATAACAAGTTAATAACAATATATATATACAACTAATCAAAATGCCAACCTTAACCCTATGTGACGTTGGACAAATGGGCTGTAGAGAAAATAATTTTCAGAAAATTAAACAACAATGGTATTTTAAACTAAAATTTTGGTATTCAAAAATTGAATCTAAATTAGGTCCAATTTTTGGATGCTAAAACCTAAATTAGGATAACTGAACTGGAAACCAGATATTTTAAAAAATTTTGTAAAGGCTTGAAAGACTTTTTTTACCGTGCTCTTCTTAGCTTTAACCAACTATACTTCCGTTTATTCTTGTTAACTATCCCTTGGGTTTCGAGTTGTGACGATAATATCAATGAGATTTCTGTTCTTGTCGTGTACCTTTTTTTTTTTTTTCAATCTGAAGCATTTCCGAGGTATTTCAAACGCTCTGAAACCTGTCATATTGACCGTCGAATGAATTTGAAGTTACTATTTTTATATTATTTTTATTTGTATTAAAAGATCGGATGCAGAGTGACATATTTCATGTGATTACATTCGTTTTAGATTAAAATGTAACACTTTAACTTCCTAATTTAAAAATCTTGTTGATCGTTTATATTACATAGTGCATAATAACTATATAAGTCACCCTGGATTCCGTTATCACATCAAAACATTCACCATCTTTTACTTTCCATTTTCATGAATTTTGTTCATTAGAGGATTTTTTTCACTTTACGTATGGTTTTTGATCTTAATCCTGGTTTGAGTTCAAGTACAAATCGTCATTGTAATTTTCTTGTTGAGCGGAAAAAGAATATATTTTCTTTTTCCCCAACTGGCAGCAGTACTAGTGAGGAAGAAATCGACCCTAGCGTCGAAATTCCTCCTCAAAAAATGGATTTCGGAAATAAAAAGATCAATTTTTTCCCCTCACCAATACCTATCACTGCGAGTGTGTTTGAACGTGGTGTAATTTTTGCTATCTCATTATACGCTAGTATAAGGCTAGTCCGAATAATGGCTGCCAATGAAGTTGGACGCATGGAAAGTTTAGGTAATATTTGATTATATTAATTGATGTAGTCTTATCCTTAAAATTTTCCATTTTTACTAAAATCTTTAAATGGAATAAAATAGATTTAATTTTGCTTGCGATATGGACTTGGTGCGTTTATTCTTTTGATTTACCGTTTTCAAACAAGGATGAAAAGCTTTCTCATATGATTTGGGGAACAGACGAGAAATGTTATAGGTATTATTTCACCCTTTTTTTTTTATTATAATGTATTTAAAATTAGTTTCAGAATATTAATGGTTATTATAATCAAATTTCAGAAATGATGTTGATGATGGTGCATTTTATGGTACTTTATTAATTCCAACCGTGGCTGCTGCAAAATTGGTAGACATTCATCGCTCAACAAATGTAAATGATGACATAAACATCGGTATGAAAGATGGTTTCTTGATCTAGGGTGAGCGGGCCATATAGGTGGTCATAATCTTGGGTTCTTGATGTGGCCCATATTTGATAATCAACAACATTAAACTTTAGTTTTCTTTTTTTTTAATGAATAACAATTAGAATTTTTCGAAGCAAATTTTGAACTTTGCATTGCGATGGGATGTGGAATTTTGATTCATATGTTCATGTCTAAACACGTTAATCTACCTAATATGTCTGTCATTTGGGCGATGAGCATAGTTACTATTTTATCTATAATTTTAATTATTTCTATGGCAAAGTTAGGGCTCTTACCTTTGTTTGAAAGTAAGTTTTAAATAATAACAATTATCAATATACTATTTATTCACTGTGGCGGTGGTAATAATTAAATATTTCTCCAGGGGCATATATGGGGTGCTTTGTTCTTATATATTTGTCGTTGGAGATATGTTTCAATGATTTCCCCAGCATGATAGAATAGATGTTTCGTCTTATTACATGATGGGGACTCGTGTTATTAATCACTCCTATCACATTCCTTTGTCTTATTCATTACATTTTCGGGAAATAAAGGTAAAGCCCGGAATGAGAAAAAAAATTTTTTTTTTATGATTAAAATTTGAAAAATAACACGTAAATCCTCGTCATGCGATCTTAGAATAATAGTAATAACAATAATTATTAACAAATAATAATTATATTTATTATTCTCATTCACTTATTATTATCATTATTATTATGATGTGTAATTAAAATTCTTATTTGTATTCTTGAAAAATTTTAGTTTATTAACTTATCTTTTAATGATAGAATTTCCGTGGCAACATACTTTATTTTCACAAATTTTTTATCAGACGTCATTATACTCAACCGCATTGTTATTAAAAAAGAACTTCACGTTTGGCGAATTAGCAGTTGTCGCTCAGGCAATAACATTGCTTGCTGTAGAACTATGGGTCATTACCGTTAAAAAGGTTCGTTCATATATATCATATGCGTGAAACTTCTCATTCATTATTAAGCTTCTTTTTAATGCACGATATAGTTCAGACTTGTAAAAATTCCATCATTAAATCACCATTTTCCAAGCGATATTACCATCTTTCAAATTGCCTTAATTTTAGGAATGTTCCTAATAGGAATCATTCTTTCACCTCTATTGGTACATTCAAGGAATTTGGCTCAACGTCCTGCATGGAAAAGCAAACGTAAACGTGTTTTTCAAAACAATGGTCGGAAATGGACTTCTTTTGCCCTATTGGTTGGTACGTCGTTGATCGTTGCGTTTATAGGTCATTGTATACAACTCTTCTTGTCTGAAAATCCTTATATTTGGTTAGTATTTATTTTTTATTATTCATTTTACTGTACGTTATTCATAATAATTTATTTATTTGATTTTAGGATACTGCATTATGTCTTTAAAACGCCCACGAGAGTATTATTGTGTCTATACTGGATTATTATAATTATAATTTCAATTGTACTGTTCACTCACATAATACAAACACGAAGAATATATTCTTTAAATACCAAACGAAAATATTTTCATTTTTTAACTGTATTTATGTTTATTCCCGGATATTTGCTTGAGGTATATGAGTTATCTTGATCCGTTACTTTTTTTTTTTCTTTGTTTAGTACATATGATATTTACTTGTCAATTTTTTAGCCCGAATTCATGCATTTGGCATTTAGTGTGGCACTTTCTGCTTTTATATTTTTAGAATATTTGCGGTACTTTGCCGTATATCCTTTAGGAAAAAATATACATATTTTTCTAAGTGAATTTTTAGATAATCGTGATTCAGGCCCTTGTATTTTGAGTCATTTATATTTGCTAGTTGGATGTGCAGCTTGCATCTGGATGCAAGGGTAGGTTTATTACCATTCATGCTTAAGTGAGAGTAGGACAAAGTAACATCGTATCATTTTCATATTTGTTATGCACGTGTATTGTTTTAATTTAACTCTGATTTTTTTATAGAACCTCCATCCTAGCAAACATATCAGGCATTCTAACTTTGGGTCTAGGTGATGCTATGGTTCGTTTTCAATATCTTTAATTTTTATCATTATGTATCATGTGATTATCAAAGAGCAAATTATTTAACAAAATTTATCAATTTCGTTAGGCATCTATAATTGGTAAGCGTTATGGTCGTAGACGTTGGCCTGGAACATCAAAGACAATTGAGGGGTCCATTGCGTTTATCATATTCCATTTATTGGGCGCATTTGCAGTAACCCGTTTGTGGCCAAGGAATAATTTGTTGCCAGGCATAGAAGAGGTATTAATTGGTATTAATTGGTATTAATTTTTCTTTTAACATAATTCATTATGTTTAATATTGGCTTATATTTTGTAGTGGCTATATTATACTCTCGCTGTCTCAATTACAGGTAAATGTTTTAACTTGTATTTAAATAGTTAATTGAAACTTTTGAAAATTGAATGCTGACATATATATATATATATTTATATATATAGCTTTTTTAGAAGCTGTTTCATACCAAAATGATAATCTTATGATTCCATTGTTTATGTGGACTTTAACATGCTTATTAATATAAAATTTGAAGACAAACTTTTTTTAGAGTGTTTTTAATTTCTAACATTTTGCATAATTAGTTTAATCATTTAAAATGTTTCATCGAACCAATAAATTCACGCATTGTATATTTAGAACATAATAATTGATGTATATTTTTTTATTCTAAATTGCCGTTAAAGCCATTTAAGATTAAAAAATTTTAGGTGCCAATTTGACGTATATATTATCGTATCAGGGATTTGAATAGACATAATCTATCAAAAAAATTATTGTCTAATGGTCTATTGGAATTCTATTGGTCTAATGAGTAGAGATGGGCACGCGCGTGATCCGCGCGGGATTTTTAATATAAAATTATCTGGCCGGCATTACCATATAATCTGACTGGCATTAATATAATATCTGGC